TTTACCAAAATTCCCCGTCAAAACTTTCACGTGACTGTAAGTGGGACTTCGGAGTACGTAGGAGCTAAATTTAAAACATCTAGGTCAAATGTGATGTAGAAGATCTTTCAACAATTCCATCTTTCTAAGTTTCCTCTTCCCTAGATAGTGGTTTCCTGCCAAAATTCTGAAGTGTCCCTGCATGAGACCCTGGGTTTAGCTTCCTAGCATTGTTGGTTTTTGCGTTGAAAACGCGGAATAAAATGCACTCGAAAACAAAACATATACGAACAGGGGCATGACAATATGGAATTTTTGCAACTTTTTCAACACGAAACGCATAAAAAGTTAAAAAGAACATTAAACGGTAAATAAGCAAATCGAAAAAAAAATATCACTGGGATTTTTTCACTACCTGACAAAAACAGAGAGTAATTAACCTGCTCATTTTCGTTGTTAATTTCGTCTTTTTCACTTTCTTCCTCACTGTCGTCGGCGGCCTCTCCTTGCATACCAGTTTCTTGGTCAGTGTTGTTCTCATTTTCCTCCAACTTAGACAGTTTTTTGGACACATCGTCATCGCCCCCGTCCATCGCTTTTCGTTTCTTTAGCTGTGGTTCACCTCTTTTTATTCGTTTTGGACACAGCTCATCCGGAAGGCATTCCCAGCCTAAAAAAGAATAACTTGAAAAAGAAAAGATTTTGCTCAAAAGCCCGAGAAAATTCAGGAATGAATTTGTGACGAAAATTAGCTGAAATTCAAAATTATGAGGGGTAAAAACAACGAAACTGATGCTTCACATTTAGGAAAGAGTAGTTTTACCACCTGGAAAAAATTTCTCTTTTTCGATTACTCGATATTTATCGGTGTAGCGCCGAAATTCACAACTGGGTTCCCTGGCTTCAAGAAAAAACGAAGAATCCTGAAAACGTGTGAGTAATTCTTGTCGCAATTCGGCCATGTACTGCAACTCGTCTGATTTGTCGAGCGGTAGAGCTGTTTGTGAGACTGGCTGAAATACAAAAGTGAATCCTGAAGATAAACATTTTTCCAGTACAGCAAAACTCTTTGTAAAAAGAATTTTGTTGCCGCAGTTAAAACGACTAGGAGAGTGCAATATGGCTCAAAAATAATCAGCTCGCTTCCCCATTAAAAAGAACTAAGAAAACTGAATTTGCACCAGCCAGAGTCAACCGCTATTATTACGACCACTCATGACCACTATCATTGGCGACGCGCACCCTGTGGGCCCGTGTGATCATGCGTTTTTGCAGTATTTCGTGCTGTAATGAGATCGCTCGGAAACGCAGTTGCTAGGATTTGTGACATACTGGTCCTCGAAAGTCCGAAAGTTAATTGTCTACGCGGCACTTGGACAGGGAACATTTTGTTAAAATTTTAGCCACGCAACTTACCTGGTTCTCGAGTTAGCCACTTTTCTGCCAAAAAATTTCATGGGGCCAAACGTGAGAACCGCGAATGCCTGGGGCGTTGAATTTGATAAATTCAAGTTTTACATGGGCTGAGAACATTCCGTTAAAATTTCAACCTCCCAGCTTTTCTGGACTTCAAGTCAGCGATTTCCCCCGTCAGGAATCTTCAAGGGGTCGTGCGTAAGAACCACGCATACCTAAGGACTGAATCTGAAATCTTTAAGTTCGATGTGGACGGGGAAAATAACCTCAAAGTTTCAGCTTTCTAGCTTTCCCGAATTAGCGATTTTCCCGTCAAAATTTTCACGCGCTCGTACGCGGGGACTAGACGTGCGTGAGGGTTGTCACCACGGTTCTGGAATTTGGCCGGGGAACTCACTGGCAAAATTTTGGCTCTGGAACTTACTTGGGTGTCGTGTTAAAACTCCCGGACAGATACATATACACATATACACATAGACACACACACACATACACACACGAGAGTCGTCACAATATATGTTTTTGCATTTGCATATAGGCAAAAACGCATAAAAAGCAGGCATATTTCGCATCCATCCCGTTAGTTCTCACACTCATACACATCTCCGCAAAAAATATCCACCTCGACAGTGCCAGTCCAAGCAAAGAGGGATTAGATTAGGTCATCTTAAACTGCCACATAAAAAAAGGTTCTTTTTGGTGCAAAAAACTTATCTCATTTTGGCGGATTCTTCGCCGCCTTATGATTCTATCCAACTTGCGTTTCGAGTAAAACCAAAATTAAAAAAAAATATATATATATATAAGAAAAAAGTAGTGCAAACAAATTAAAAATAAGACTCAAATAAAAGAACTCACC